GAGTGCAGATCCCAATGCAAATGGGCAAATTTTGGACTTGAGATCCCATCATCCTCTGAGATGTGGCTTGGGAACTTATGGGACCTCAAGTCCGTAAGGGTTGCAGGGTGGGGAGGGGTTCTGGGACTTGCGACCCGAACATATATATATATAAATGCATCCATTCACATGGATGCCCAAGGGGGAGTCTCTCATTGGGTATCAGGCATTGATTGCAGTTCTGGGTTTGAGCCTGCCACTTTTGGACTCTTGCTTGCTGAGGTGTTGCAAATTAAAAGAGAGGGTCTTTTTGTTGAACGCAGATGTCCCTTTTTGTCAACTTTTTTTCTGGCTTCAAAGGAAAACGGAGAGGAAATGCTTTGCAAGGGTTGCATCACCAAGAGGCAGAAATCCATGCTTTAGATTGGGCAAGGGCCAACTCAGGCCTTCCAGGTGTTTTGGACTACAACTCCCATAATTCCTAACAGCCGGTAGGCTTTTTATTTCCTAACGAACACTGAGACCTTTTCTTCCCAAACAAACAAATCCAGAATATAGACTTGGGAGGGAAGCTTTCCTGCAAATGCCATCATGCTTTTGTCTCTTGGGATAGTAAGCTCTGTGTTTTTCGGAATCGCACACTGATGGTGCAATATAGATAAAGGATCAATATGGGAAAGAAGGTGGTGTTGCATTGCATAGCATTGCATTGCACTGCACTGCTTTGAATTTTGGGATTGCAAGCCCAATGCAACAGGGACGTGTGTTCTTCAGAACTGCACACTGATGATACAGGATATATAAAGGACCAATGTTGGGAAGAGCGTGTGCTGCATTGCATTGCATTGCTTTGCTTTGCTTTGCATTGCATTGCATTGCACTGCTTTGAATTTTGGAATTGCAAGCTCAATGCGGCAGAGACGTATATTCCTCAGAATTGCACACTGATGATGCAGTATATATAAAGGATCAATGTGGGAAAGAACATGTGCTGCATTGCATTGCATTGCACTGCTTTGAATTTTGGGATTGCAAGCTCAATGCGGCAGGGACATGTATTCCTCAGAACTGCACACTGATGATGCAGTATATATAAAGGATCAATGTGGGAAAGAACATGTGCTGCATTGCATTGCATTGCACTGCTTTGAATTTTGGGATTGCAAGCTCAATGCGGCAGGGACATGTATTCCTCAGAACTGCACACTGATGATGCAGTATATATAAAGGATCAATGTTGGAAAGAGTGTGTGCTGCATTACATTGCATTGCTTAGCATTGAATTGAATTGCATTGCTCTGCATTGCATTGCATTGCATTGCAGTACATTGCATTGCTTTGCATTGCATTGCTTTACATTGCTCTGCACTGCATTGCATTGCATTGCTTTGCATTGAATTGCATTGCTCTGCATTGCATTGCATTGCTTTGCATTGCATTGCAGTATTGCATTGCATTGCTTTGCATTGCATTGCTTTACATTGCTCTGCACTGCATTGCATTGCTTTGCTTTGCATTGCATTGCTTTGAATTTTGGGATTGAAAACTAAATGCGGCAGGGACGTGTGTTCTTCAGAATTGCACACTGATGATGCAGTATATATAAAGGATCAATGTTGGAAAGAGCGTGTGCTGCATTGCATTGCTTAGCATTGCATTGAATTGCATTGCTCTGTATTGCATTGCATTGCAGTACATTGCATTGCTTTGCATTGCATTGCTTTACATTGCTCTGCACTGCATTGCATTGCATTGCTCTGCATTGCATTGCATTGCAGTACTTTGCATTGCATTGCTTTGCATTGCATTGCTTTACATTGCTCTGCACTGCATTGCATTGCTTTGCTTTGCATTGCATTGCTTTGAATTTTGGGATTGAAAACTAAATGCGGCAGGGACGTGTGTTCTTCAGAATTGCACACTGATGATGCAGTATATATAAAGGATCAATGTGGGAAAAACATGTGCTGCATTGCATTGCATTGCATTGCATTGCATTGCATTGCATTGCTTAGCATTGCATTACTTTGCATTGCATAGCGTTGCATTGCATTGCATTGCATTGCATTGCATTGCATTGCATTGCATTGCATTGCATTGCATAGGGGTTGGTGCATCCTACAATACTATGCATCGAGATGAATGAAAAGATAGAGGAGCCAATGCCTGTGTTTGGGACCCAGCGAACCACTATCCCATTGTTGACGTAAATAAGAAGCATTATGTCCCATAAATGTCCAGGAGAGGTGTTATTTACTTGTGTTTTTTGGGTTCCTACCTCGGTTGAGCTCTGTTTTGTAAACAGATGCAATGGCGGGGACGAGGAGCAGGGCCTTCTCAGTGGTAGCACCTCACCTATGGAACTCACTACCCGGGGAAATTAGATTGGCAACATCCCTCCTTTCCTTTAGAAGGAAATTGAAGACATGGATTTGGGACCAGGCGTTTGGGTAATCTGGCAGATAAATAAAGGACTGTAACGACGGATAGGAATAGACAATGTGGAATGAAGTATGGACTCTGAGTTGGCGAACGCTGAGCATGACATTGGTTATTGATTGTGATTTATATTGATTGTTTTAATTGTTATAACTGTTTAATTGCTGTTTTATGCAATTATGTAGGCATCGAATTGTGCCTTTTTGGAAGCCGCCCTGAGTCCCCCCTCGGGGGTCGAGAAGGGCCGGGTAGAAGCACACAAAATAAAAGAGCTTTGGTCAAATGGGATTGGCCTTCCTGGATTCCAAATACTCAGCATGGATAGATAGATAGATAGATAGATAGATAGATAGATAGATAGATAGATAGATAGATAGATGGATGGAGAACAGATGGACGGATGAGTGGACGGACGGACGGACAGATGGACAGACAGAGTAATAATTAAAGATACATGAATAGATTGATTGACTGTAAGATATAGACATTGAGATAGATAGATAGATAGATAGATAGTAGGCTTGTTTGTTGTGATTAGGCTTGGGCAATCCATGGTTCTAAATGGTTCTAAAGTACTTACAAAACTAAAGTTCTGGTGGTGAAAATTTCAGAACTCTAACAAAACTTTCAAAATTTAATTATTATTTCATTATTGGTGATTTTAATGACAGAACCAATTAGGAACTGCCATTTATTATGAAATTTTGAGAGTTTTGTTAGAGTTCTGAAATTTTCACCACCAGAACTTTAGTTTTGTAAGTACTTTAGAACCATTTAGAACCATGGATTGCCCAAGCCTGATAGATAGATAGATAGATAGATAGATAGATAGATAGATAGATAGATAGATAGATAGATAGATAGACAATGGATGGATGGATGGATGGATGGATTGGATGGATGGATGGATGGATGGATAGGATAGGTGGTAGGTAGGTAGGATAGGTAGGTAGATAGATAGATAGATAGATAGATAGATAGATAGATAGATAGATGACTGGATAGATAATAGAAATGGATGGATGGATGGATGGATGGATGGATGAATGGATGATGGATATAGATAGATAGATAGATAGATAGATAGATAGATAGATAGATAGATAGATAGATAGATAGATAGATAGATAGATGGAGGGATTGATAGATACATAGACAAATGGATGGATGGATGGATGGATGGATGGATGGATGGTGGATGGTGGATGGATGGATGGATGGATGGATGGGTAGGTAGGTAGGTAGGTAGGTAGGTAGATAGATAGATAGATAGATAGATAGATAGATAGATAATATGATAGATACATAGACAAATGGATGGATGGATGGATGGATGGATGGATGGATGGATGGATGGATGGATGGATGGATGGATGGATGGATGGATGGATAGATAGATAGATAGAGGTGGATGAAAGCCAATGCCTCTTCCTGGAACTTTTCCAGTTTCCTTCCCACTCCGTATTTCCTCCCATCAAAACCCTTTGGGGTGTGTTGTGGGGCACCAAGCCACCTCCTCCTACTGTTGTTGATGCTTCTCCTCCATGTGGGGTTTCCCCATAAGAGATGCCACCCAACTGGCCAGTGGCGAATGGCCTGGTGCAAGAGGAGAGGGCCGATCCCGTCTCTGGGCAGCCAGGCCATTGCGGCCAATGGAGGCTGACCCAATGGGACGGGGGCTGTGAGGGCAAACAAGGGGGAGATGTGGGCGCGTGGCGTGGGCACTCCCTCCGCATGTGCCCCTCAAAAGGTGGACCCCTCCGTTGCCGTGTGAAAAGAAGAGACAGACAGCCGAAGGGAGGAAGGGAAGAACAAAGGAGGAAGAGGAGAAGGAAGAAGGAAGGATGAAAGGAAGGAAGGAAGGGAGAAAGGGAGGTGGGAATGGAGAAAAGAAGGAAGAAAGGAAAGATGGAAAGAAGGAAGGATAGATGACGAAAAGAAGGAAAGGAGAGAAGAATGAAGGAGGGAGGGAGGGGAGAGGAAAGAAAGAAAGAAAGAATAATAAAGATAGGAGGGGGGAGGAGGGTCAGGAGGAAGAAAGGAAGGTAGGGCAGAAAGAAGGATGGAAAGAAAGAATGAAGGAATGAAGAGCAGAAGGAAAGATGGATAGATGGAAAGAAAGAAGGAAAGATGGATGGATGGAGGGAAGGATGGAAGGAAGGAAGGGCAGAAAGAAAGGAAGGAAAGAAGAAAGGAAGGAAGGAAGGAAGGAAGGAAGGAAGGAAGGAAGGAAGGAAGGAAGAGCTGAAGGAAAGATGGATAAATGGATAGATAGATGGATGGAAGGAACGAAGGAAAGAAGGGCAGAAGAAAGGAAGGAAGGAAGGAAGGAAGGAAGGAAGGAAGGAAGAAGGAAGAGAAAAGGAAGAGGAAGGGAAAGAGGAGAGGAAGGGAAAAGGAAGGAAGGGAAGGAAGGAAGGAAGAAGAAAGAAGGAAGGAAGAGGAAGGAAGGAAGGAGGAAGGAAGAGAGGAAGGAAGAAGGAGGATGGATGGATGGATGGAATGGATGGATGAAAGGAACAAAGGAAAGAAGGGCAGAAGAAAGGAAGGAAGGGAAAAAAGAAAGAAGGACGGACGGACAA